TCTTATTGGCTCACACGTCGGTTTATCGGGTATAAAAACAGTACAGATGTTTTTGTTAAACAAATCTGTGTTAACTTCCAAATTCAGCTGTTTTTTAACTGCGATCTCGCAGTTAACTAACACCTCGAATCATGACCAGGGCGTTCTGGACCAGGACGTGCACGAGTTGATGATCCCATCGGAACGTTTGGGAGTGATAATGAAATCAAAACAGCCCCCCCCACCACTCCTTTTCCGAGAGTGTCGACTCGGGAAAAGAGTGGGGGGTGGGGGGGGGTAGTGGCAAGCAGGGGAGAAGGTTGAGCGATAGCTGCGATAAATTGCAGGAGTAGAAGCACTTGAGCATAAAATTAGATTTTACAAATGTGTTGTTACCTGACAGTCCACTGACACCGGAGATATCACAACAGTCTGCGGCTGCAGGAGAGCTACTAATCGCATCAAATAAATAAGAATGCCTTTCAGCTGTGATGGAGCTCGGCCCAGACTCTACATGGACAATGAGTCGGGGGGGGGGGGGGGGGGAGTAAAAACATAATTAAAACACTTCTTGTTATGGGCCAAATTCAATTTATATGGTAATATATTATGTTGTGTGAAAGGTGTGTGCGCTGCCACACATTTGTTTCACTGCTTTGACACTTAGAGGTCCGGTGTGTGAGCTTCAGTGACACCTAATGGGTGGAATGAGGACTGCAACGATGAGAGAAATGAATGAGTTGATAGTTTGACAGAGACACCAGCACATTTAGTCTCACTGGGACTGGGACAAAAGTTTTTGTTTTTTTTATATAGGGAATTGAACCTAGTGGGCCCCCAGGTGGTTAGTGATCACGCCTAGCAGCAAGAAGGTCACAGGTTCAAACACCTATGTTGACCGCTGCTCCTTCTGTATAGAGTTCTCCTGTTTTTACCTGTTTTTTTTGGGGGGGGAGGGGGTTCTTCAGTGTCCTTCCACATGAGGTCCAATCACATGTGTCCATATATGTGACCCTGTGATGTGGGGGGGGGGGGACGGCACATTTGGCCTCTCAAGCTAGCCCATCAAACCCTTTCTAAATTATGTTATTAATCTATATTATTATTATGATTATACTTCTGCGTTTTCCCTGTAATGTCCACCTTTCCCCAATAGATGGCGTAGAGGAGGCTAAGCACTTTAGCCAAAAGTCATAAATGGATCTTACTATTCTCTTAAAAACGTTTTGACAAACCAAACGTACAAAGATGCTCTGATTTGTTGCGTTCAAATCCACTCGTCTCCGTCGGTGAAGCCGCTCGGAGTTTGGAAAAAAACACATTTGGCTGCAATTAGCATCTGCTTCATATTTCCCAATGAGACCTTAGCAACTAATTATTGGCCTTTGTGTGTGTGTGTGTGTGTGTGTGTGTGTGTGTGTGTGTGTGTGTCTATTGACATGCTAATGTGAAGCCTTTTGACAAAATCCACCAGGCAAAGTGAATTTGCATGAAATGTTGCCGTAGTAAAAAACAAAAACGTTCAGAGCAGTTGGTCAAATACGAACGTGGAAACTTTGCCACAGACGCACCGTCCGTGCTTCACCACAACAAATGTGTGTGTTGTTAAATTAATTAATAATCCTAAATTCATTAGAGTTTGTTACACACCAACAACGACTGATACAGCACTGATGTCAAAATACTGTTTGTTTGTTTTTTTTTAAAGT